TACTTAAATTGCAGCTGAATTTTGCAGTGCAGCAATGCCCTTAATCTTGCTCTTTTGCAGCCTACCCTTCCCCACCACTACCACCACTGAGTGACTAAGAGCCAAAAACCATGGCATGAATTCACTCTCAGCCACTCAGCAATGGTCAGGGAGTGGGGCGGGAATCGGAGTAAAAAGAGCAAAAATAAAGATATCACTGCACCGCAAACTTCCACCACAATTTAGGTAGGTCCCCACCTATTAGTCACCTAAGCAGACTTAGACATGTAAATGAGATCCAATTCTATCTCATCATTTAGTGTCCAAGTGCATTGTTATACATTCATTTTAAGTGGCTCCTAGAGTTCTTAACCCCTGGATTGTCCACACATTTACATGTGAAATTAGTTTTAAGCATTCTTTATGTGGTTTAATGTTATGCCACTCCAGGTTAGGTTAATCTCTGATCTGTGTTACCCAGCTCATGTTGCACTAGTGTGTAGCCAGTGTAGGTTACACACTTGTGTAAAGCCCTATCCACCAACTCACTGGCCCAGATAGGGCACACTGCCCTGCCCAGCCCTCCCTACCAGGGCACCACCCCTCAATCCGATCCCTAACCAGCTGAGATTGGCCTGCTGCCCCACCCCCACCAGATCAAACCTGCCATCCCCCACCTCCCCCCAGCGCCCAGATTCTTGCTCACTTCCCTGATCCCAGCTTACTTGACACTGTCCCAGGGGAGCAGACAGGGAAAGGGAACCTACCTTCCTGGCTACTGCTGCCATCACCACCACTGCCTCTCTGTGGACTGAGCAGGTGGCCACAAGTAAGCTGGGGGGCCCAGGGGTTGCAGGTGGGCCATCAGGGTCAGGGAGGGCAGGGGAAGGGGAGAACACAGAGAGGCAGGAGGGGAGCCCCAGGGTGGGGGATCAGGGGCAGACCCCAAGATGCAGCAGGGGAGCCCTGGGCATAGAGTGGGGCAGGTCAAGGCAGCAGGGAACCCTGAGAGGCAGGGGGAAACCTGGAGGCAGGGAAGGAACAGAGAAAGCCTCAGGGGGCAGGAAGGACTCCTGGAAAGGGAGGGGAGAGGAAGGAGATCCTTACCTTTTAGTCCTCCAGGCCCCTACTGCCCTGACGTGCTCCAAACTGGAGCTGGCACTAATATCCACCAACATTTGAGCACCTGAAAGTGCTGCATCTAACAAAGCCTTTGTGAGCCGTATCAGGTGTCCATAGCACCTTGCTTGATTCCCTGGAGACCCACTGGTGCTAAGGCTGGGTGAGTGTTCCCTAATGTCCTTTTCTTGTTTGTTTATTTGGAGGGGGTTTTGTACTTTTACGGCTGAGACAGGGCCCGAGCACTGCTGTGGCCCCAGTGCTTCAGAGAAGAGGGAGACAGGGCTACATTTACAGCCCTGCCGGGAAGAAATGCAGCCAGAGGCAGCACCCAAGGGAGCTCTAGGTTCATAAGCCAGCCTGAAGTGAGGCTTCTGTTGTGTGACTTGGGGGCAAGCAAGTCTCCCTGGCTGACTGTCCCTTCTGACATGGCCTTAAGAGGCCAGGGCACACGTGCTGTGTGTCCCGTCCTCCCCCCCCCC